ATATTAGTTTCAGGTATACAGCATAGTGGTTAGACAATTATATAATTTACAGAGTGATAAAGTTTTTTTTTTATATAAAATCAGAGCAAAGATGTGTGAAATTTTAGAAAAACTTAAAAAATAATCATACTTTACCCCCTGACTGGGTGAGCTGTCAGACACTGTGGCTTATCGATTCCATGAATAATTGAGGTTTTCAAAGAGCCATCTAGTCTTGCCACATTAATCTGTGTTTCATCAAATTCTGAGCTAATCCAGTACAAATTCCGTGAGACCCAATCCACTGCTAGCCCTCTGATACTCTGAATATCTACAAAACAGGAAAAAGAAAATTAAAAGTAAATGAAGTTTCTCATTCTTTCGGCTTTTCAAGTAAGTTATTTTCTGTCTCAGGGAAATTTTAATTTACACTTTAATTTGTTAGCTAAAATTGTACAAGATTGTAATCGCATTCCCTCATCAGCCCTTCTTAAAACATGAATAATCATTAATGTCTTACTGCCCAGCCGTTTTGAAACCTGACACCTCAATTAGCATTGAAATTACACTAACAGTCCATGATTCACTAGTAAACACTTAGCAGCAGAAACAAGCTCCAGTCCTATGGGCCAAGGTGACGAAATTCAAATTAGAGTAATAGCTTCTCCAGTTGGTAGCACATCTTTCTAGTTAGGAGAAAGTACTTGTGAAGCATCAACAAATGTGCTATTTTATGTTTTAAGTGCCAATTTGTTACTGAAATGAAATAAAACAAGTCAACTTTCCTAAAAGAGTTAATAGACTTGAACATCCTTCAAAATAGAAAGTTAACCGACTAAGATATGAACAAAGAAACTAAAACCCTTTTAACATTCCTCCATCGTGGATTCTACAGAAATTACTGAAATCTAATTAAGTTTCAGTACGTTATAGCCAATATGAATATTTGGGTTGTTATTCCTTGATTATTCAATTAGGCATTTAAAAAAAGTGATGGAATTTAGGCTTAAATACAATTGCATATTTTAATTAAAGAAATAAATTAAAATAAAGTCTTAACAATGATAGATACTAGAAAATCTTTTCAGCATATTAACATATAAAGTAGGCCATTTAGTCCCCTACCTGCGGCATTTTATAACTCTAACTTGGCCTTGCCTTGATTTTACAAAACTTAAAAAATGTGTTCGAGGAATGTACCTTCTGAGTTCTCTAGACCCATCTGTGTTACTCAAGTTTACAAAACAGCTGGAGACTGTTAAAATGAAGATGCTGACTCAGCAGATGTGGCGAGAGGCGAGATTCTGAAATTTCTAACTAGCGCCCCTTGCAGCTACACTGCTCCAAACAGAAGCTCCAATCTAAGGGCCTCCAGAACCCCATAGCCACTGCCACTTACCTCATTGAATTGCTACATCTTCCTATTTAACATTTTCAAAAAATGCCACAAAGCTAGATTTGCACCTGAAAGGGAAGGCTCCAGATTGCAATATTTGCCAACTGGTTGAAAATTAAACAAGCAAAACAAGACACAGAGGCCTGGCAGTTCTGGGTCAGCTCTAAAGTGTAGTGTTGGCCTGGGGACCTCCACCACAGCAGATTTCCTGGAATGTCGACCACGCTGACTTTCCTGCTCAAAAATCCTTGAATTGTTTCTAAATAAGTTTTAATGACCGTGCCCTTAGAATATATTTCTCATGTTTTGGTAACTCTAATCAACACCATCTCACTCTGCAACTTACCTTTCATCATTAATTTATTGGTATATTGGTGGATTTTGGATGTGAACTTCATTTCTAAATTCAAAATTTGAAATTCATTTTTATTTAACCTACCCACTTCCCTCTTTTCTAAAAAGAGAGAGAGAGAGAGAGAGAGACTTCACTCTCTGGAGTTAATTGGTTGCTGAGAGATAGACAGTATTATAATGAGACCTGGCTTCATGTTTTAGGTTGTGTACCTGTTTCTTGTTTTTAATCAAGTCACTTAAATTTTGGCCTCTTACAGGAAAATTAGTGACCCGGTGCATGAATTCGTGCACATTGAAAGGAAATTAATTAGAAGAAATGTTTTAATATTGCTATTTGCCCTTTCTCTATAATAGAAATGTCAACCAAACTCACGATTGACAATTGCAGATCAATACACATGCATGCAATTAGCGCCAGCAAAAGCTTTATATGTATCACGCATGAGCAAGTCAACTTAGCCTTTTATATATATAGAATAAACTCACTTAATTAGACCTGCTTTCTGATGTAGCTAAACTTTTTCCAGCCCAGTGAAGCATACCAACTTCTCTTTCAGGTAACTGTCAGCAACACAGCAGTAAATATCAACATGAAGCAGATTATTATTGTAGATCACGCAGGGAGAACAAAGGGTAAAATATTTAACTACAGCAGTGTTTGACTATATTCTGTGCAGTGAGAAAACCTGGGGTCATTTTTAAGGTCCACCATTTCTTACTTCTTTTCAGTCGGCTCAAGTTTCTAAGCTTTCTAAATCTCTGTTTTCTGGCTAATGAAAAGAAAATAGGATTCCACCAAGTCTCTTATCTATCTACTCCAGGACTTCTGTGAGGATCAAATGAGATGAGGCATGGGAAAATGCTTCACAGACATTTGGTTAAAGTGTAAAATGTTTCTACCTGGGTATAAAGCAAATCGTGTTTCTGGGCTGAAGAAAATGCAAGGAGACTAGTCGCTAGGGAGAGGAACCTAGGCATTGCTATGTGACATCATTACACAGATGGACACTTAGCAGATTAGCCTATATAATTGTGCTTTAAATTATAGATATTATAGATAACACATAGGATTTCTGTGAATATTTTATTATATGATATGTATTTGTGTACCTTAATGCAGGGTGGAGGGCTACTTTGCCAATCCAAGGACTTAATATCTTCTGTATTTTTACTCTGGATTGCTTGGTATTGGCAAGAATAATGAAATTAGTTTTTATTTCCTCTAAAATACATGGCTACCCAAAGTAGTGTTGTTTGTTTGTGGTTGTTGTATTTTGTGTTGTTTTGTTTTTTTGTTTGTTTGTTTTTTGTTTTGGCTGTCTCTGCTGCTCAAAATTTATTTCTGATTGAGTCCTAATCACATCCTAGAGAATACAGTGCACTGTTAAACTGGAAAGCTAGCCAATGTAATCTATTAATACCTATTTAGTCCTTGCCGATTATATGGTTCATGCTCTCCAAATCTACTTCTATCTTTAATACCACAACAGCATCCAGTCTTTTTCCTCTTTAAAGCAGTTGATTTAGTTGCTGCCAGGTTATTTTTCTAACTAGAGAGCTCTGGATCATGACCTTTGTTTGCCCCATGGTATTCAATTGCTTCCAGCCACTTAGAGAGTGATGTCTAAATTCTTAGCTTGCCTTTCTATATAATCTGAATATAACTACCTTCCCAATCATATTTCTCACTATTTTTAACAATTACCTTACATGTCAATCATATTGATGTGCTTTCAGAGTTCCAAAGGTGTCCTGTCCTTTCCAACTTATAAGGAATTATCTGGCCAATGTCTTTCAATGTAATGTGATAGTTACTTGCTGACATATTACTACTATCACCTATACTTCTTGAGGGCAGGGTCCTTGCTAATTTATCTTCATAGCTCTCATCCTCAAATATATACAAATCACCTTCAAAATAAGTATCATTAATGAATTGATGAGTGCATTCATAACATGCACAATCTACAATTTTAAGATGTGTGAGCTGAAATCAATAAAAATATCTTTAAAAAAAAAAAGACAATACAGAGGCTTGTGTAGCCATAGGGGCAAAACCTTGCAATGAGACTCTAGGGATTCGTGGATTTGTAGTTAGTTGCTCAGTTCAGAGGTTTCGGACCTTAAACTCACAAAGAGTAGGAGAGCTAAACAAGGACACACTCAGGTATTATCTGAAGGGTGTAAGTCCTCAGTGACAGGTCACTGGGGAAAAATAATTGGCCTGCTCCAAAAGGAGAATATTTTAAAATAAAATGTTTTTTAAAGTATTATGTGTAAGATAAAGAAAAATGAGTGGGATATTTTAAAAGAAAAATATGCTTTGAAATAATAAGCAAGGTGCATTAATTTACTTTTAAAATTCTCACAAGTAACTTTTACATAGTTTTAAAAATACAATATAAAAAAAAAAGTATCAGGGGCATTAACTAGCAGCTTAGGCAGATTAACTAGTGAACTGCAATGCAAATCGAAGGACATTAGCCAGAGCCAACACAGAGAAATAAAACGATCAGAGGAATTGGAGGTTACAATGAACTATCTTGCACATGTAGTCAGTTTCTAAAGGTGGGGACACAGAGACTGGGTTAGAGAAAATGGTAAGAGAGAACATTTGAGGGTTTTTTTTGTTTTCTCTCCAGGTTGATGAAAGACATGACCTCATAGGAGGCACAAGACTCTTAGTGGCTAAATAAAAAAATATTGTCATGAGGAAAAATAAAACATGAAAAGTAGCTAAAGAGAAAAGAAAAGAAAAAGACCTAAAAGGAATAACAATTAGATAAACATGGAGGTTCAATATAGCGATGAGGGATGCCACAAGATAGTGGGATGATATCTGGAGAAGATTGAAAGAAAACAGCTGTGAACTTGGAATTTATAGTCAACACAATTATTATACTATAACAACAAACACCCAAATAATTTTCTTTACAAAGGGGCACAGGACTTGAATATACATTTATCCAAAAACAGGTATAGAAATGCCAGTATGAAAGGACGCTCAGCACCACTAATCATTAGGAAATGCAAATCAAAACCACCATTAGTTACCACCTCACACTCATTAGAATGGCTACTATACAACAAAACAAATTTTTAAAAGAAGTTAGAAAAAAACAAGTGCTAAGAGGGATTTGAAAAAATTGGAACACGTGCGTGTATTATTGGTAGGAATGTGAAATGGTACAGCCTCTGTGGGAGACGGTACAGCAGTTCCTCAAATAATTAAAAATAGAATTACCTTATGATCCAGCAATTCCACTTTTGGGTAAAAAGTCAAGGGCTGCACAATGATATTTTAGTCAAGGACAGACCGCATATATGAAGGTGGTCCCAGAGGATTACAATGGAGCTAAAAATTCCTGTTACCCAGTGACATTTTAGCCATAGTGACATCACAGCCGTCTAACGTGGTGGCACAAGGCATTGCTATTTTGTGCTGTTCTCAGTCTATCGATAGTAATGCTATTGGATACAAATGCCTGAAGGCACTCACCTGTCTCCTGGTGAGCTTTCCACAGACACTTCCCCTCTCTAAAGCAATGCCGCAACTGGACAGACCCTTTGGGTTCTTATTA